ATCTCCATGTATAATACATAAGGGGGGATATGATCTCCATGTATAATACATAAGGGGGGATATGATCACCATGTATAATACATAAGGGGGGGTATGATCTCCATGTATAATACATAAGGGGGATGTGATCTCCATGTATAATACATAAGGGGGGGGATATGATCTCCATGTATAATACATAAGGGGTGATATGATCTCCATGTATAATACATAAGGGGGGGGGGGATATGATCACCATGTATAATACATAAGGGGGATATGATCTCCATGTATAATACATAAGGGGGGATATGATCACCATGTATAGTACATGAGGGGGGATATGATCTCCATGTATAATACATAAGGGGGGTATGATCTCCATGTATAGTACATAAAGGGGGGATATGATCTCCATGTATAGTACATAAGGGGGGATATGATCTCCATGTATAATACATGAGGGGGGGGGATGATCACCATGTATAATACATAAGGGATATGATCTCCATGTATAATACATAAGGGGGGATATGATCACCATGTATAGTACATGAGGGGGGATATGATCTCCATGTATAATACATAAGGGGGGATATGATCTCCATGTATAGTACATAAGGGGGGATATGATCTCCATGTATAGTACATAAGGGGGGAATATATCTCCATGTATAATACATGAGGGGGGGGGGATATGATCCATGTATAATACATAAGGGGGGATATGATCTCCATGTATAATACATAAGGGGGGGATATGATCTCCATGTATAGTACATAAGGGGGGATATGATCTCCATGTATAGTACATAAGGGGGGATATGATCTCCATGTATAGTACATAAGGGGGGGATATGATCTCCATGTAACAGTACATAAGGGGGATATGATCTCCATGTATAGTACATAAGGGGGATATGATCTCCATGTATAGTACATAAGGGGGGATATGATCACCCCATGTATAATACATAAGGGGGGATATGATCTCCATGTATGGTACATAGGGGGATATGATCACCATGTATAATACATAAGGGGGGATATAATCTCCATGTATAATACATAAGGGGGGATATATCTCCATGTATAATACATAAGGGGGGATATGATCTCCATGTATAATACATAAGGGGGGATATGATCTCCATGTATAATACATAAGGGGGGATATGATCTCCATGTATAATACATAAGGGGGATATGATCTCCATGTATAATACATAAGGGGGGATATGATCTCCATGTATAGTACATAAGGGGGGATATGATCTCCATGTATAATACATAAGGGGGATATGATCTCCATGTATAATACAAAAGGGGGATATGATCTCCATGTATAATACATAAGGGGGGGATATGATCTCCATGTATAATACATAAGGGGGATATGATCTCCATGTATAAATACATAAGGGGGATATGGTCTCCAAGTATAATACATAAAGGGAGATATGATCTCCATGTATAATACATAAGGGGGGATATGATCTCCATGTATAATACATAAGGGGGATATGATCTCCATGTATAATACATAAGGGGGATATGATCTCCATGTATAATACATAAGGGGGGGATATAAAGTCTCCATGTATAATACATAAGGGGGGATATGATCTCCATGTATAATACATAAGGGGGGGGGGGGATGATCTCCATGTATAATACATAAGGGGGGGATATGATCTCCATGTATAATACATAAGGGGGGATATGATCTCCATGTATAATACATAAGGGGGGATATGATCTCAATGTATAATACATAAGGGGGGATATGATCTCCATGTATAATACATAGGGGGGGGGATATGATCTCCATGTATAATACATAAGGGGGTGGGTATGATCTCCATGTATAATACATAAGGGGGATATGATCTCCATGTATAATACATAATGGGGGATTTGTGATCACCATGTATAATACATAAGGGGGATATGATCTCCATGTATAATACATAAGGGGGGATATGATCACCATGTATAATACATAAGGGGGGATATGATCTCCATGTATAATACATAAGGGGGATATGATCTCCATGTATAATACATAAGGGGGGATATGATCACCATGCATAATACATAAGGGGGGATATGATCTCCATGTATAATACATAAGGGGGGATATGATCTCCATGTATAATACATAAGGGGGGATATGATCTCCATGTATCTACACAAAGGGGGGATATGATCTCCATGTATAAATACATAAGGGGGGATATGATCTCCATGTATAATACATAAGGGGGGATATGATCTCCATGTATAAAATACATAAGGGGGGATATGATCTCCATGTATAATTACAAAAGGGGGATATGGTCTCCATGTATAATACATAAGGGGGATATGATCTCCATGTATAATACATAAGGGGGGATATGATCTCCATGTATAATACATAAGGGGGGGATATGATCTCCATGTATAATACATAAGGGGGGATATGATCTCCATGTATAGTACATAAGGGGGATATGATCTCCATGTATAATACATAAGGGGGGATATGATCTCCATGTATAATACATAAGGGGGGATATGATCTCCATGTATAATACATAAGGGGGGGATGAATCTCCATGTGTAATACATAAGGGGGGGATATGATCTCCATGTATAATACATAAGGGGGATATGATCTCCATGTATAATACATAAGGGGGATATGATCTCATGTATAATACATAAGGGGGGATATGATCTCCATGTATAATACATAGGGGGGGGATATGATCTCCATGTATAATACATAAGGGGGGAGTGATCTCCATGTATAATACATAAGGGGGATGTGATCACCATGTATAATACATAAGGGGGGATATGATCTCCATGTATAATACATAGGGGGATATGATCTCCATGTATAATACATAAGGGGGATATGATCTCCATGTATAATACATAAGGGGGGGATATGATCTCCATGTACAATACATAAGGGGGGATAATGATCTCTATGTATAATACATAAGGGGGGATATGATCTCATGTATAATACATAAGGGGGATATGATATCCATGTATAATACATAAGGGGGGATATGATCTCCATGTATAATACATAAGGGGGGATATGATCTCCATGTATAATACATAAGGGGGATGATCTCATGTATAATACATAAGGGGGATATGATCTCCATGTATAATACATAAGGGGGGATATGATCTCCATGTATAATACATAAGGGGGATATGATCTCCATGTATATAATACATAAGGGGGGATGTGATCACCATGTATAATACATAAGGGGGGGATATGATGTCCATGTATAATACATAAGGGGGATATGATCACCATGTATATAATACATAAGGGGGGATATGATCTCCAAGTATAATACATAAGGGGGGATATGATCTCCATGTACAATACATAAGGGGGATACGATCACCATGTATAATACATAAGGGAGGATATGATCTACATGTATAATACATAAGGGGGATATGATCTCCATGTAAAATACATAAGGGGGGATATGATCTCCATGTATAATACATAGGGGGGGATATGATCTCCATGTATAATACATAGGGGGGGGATATGATCTCCATGTATAATACATAGGAAGGGATATGACCTCCATGTAAAATACATAAGGGGGGATATGATCTCCATGTATAATACATAAGGAGGGATATGATCTCCATGTATAATACATAAGGGGGGATATGATCTCCATGTATAATACATAAGGGGGGATATGATCTCCATGTATAATACATAGGGGGGGATATGATCTCCATGTATAATACATAAGGGGGATATGATCTCCATGTATAATACATAAGGAGGGATATGATCTCCATGTATAATACATAGGGGGGGGGGATATGATCTCCATGTATAATACATAGGAAGGGATATGACCTCCATGTAAAATACATAAGGGGGATATGATCTCCATGTATAATACATAAGGGGGGATATGATCTCCATGTATAATACATAAGGAGGGATATGATCTCCATGTATAATACATAGGGGGGGGGATATGATCTCCATGTATAATACATAAGGGGGGGATATGATCACCATACATAAGGGGGGGGGATATGATCTCCATGTATAATACATAAGGGGGGATATGATCACCATACATAAGGGGGATATGATCTCCATGTATAATACATAAGGGGGGATATGATCTCCATGTATCATACATAAGGGGGATATGATCACCATGTATAATACATAAGGGGGATATGATCTCCATGTATAATACATAAGGGGGGGGATATGATCTCCATGTATAATACATAAGGGGGGGATATGATCTCCATGTATAATACATAAGGGGGAGATATGATCTCCATGTATAATAAGGGGGGATATGATCTCCATGTATAATACATAAGGGGGGATATGATCTCCATGTATAATACATAAGGGGGGGATATGATCTCCATGTATAATACATAAGGGGGGGATATGATCTCCATGTATAATACATAAGGGGGGATATGATCTCCATGTATAATACATAAGGGGGGATATGATCTCCATGTATAATCCATAAGGGGGGGATATGATCTCCATGTATAATACATAAGGGGGGATATGATCTGGTGGAGGACAAGTAGGAGTATGTGCATTCAGAGCTTTCAGCTGGGACGGATCTCCTTATTGCCTGGAGCAGCCAGCCACCGAAGGGTAACCAGCCTGGAACGCAAATGGCTTTGGGGCGGACATGACATCAGACGTAGGAGTGTGGTGACATAAATGGGCGATAACGCGTTTTGAAGCGGAGCTTTTCCCTCAGACCTCTGTTTTATGTAGACACCCCTTCTAAAGGATCAGATGTTTCCAGCAAAGGGTACTGTTGAGTCTACAGACATTTTAGAGAATTGTGGTTTTGGGGGGGAAGGCCATTTTCTGTACACAAAGCCAGCTCCATAAAGACATGGCCTGACCAGTTAGGTGTGGAGGAACTCGAGAGGCCTGCACAGAGCCCTGACCTCAACTCAGAGTTTTCAGTCACACCATATACAACTTTTGATTTGGTCAGTAGGGGGCCCCATGAGATGCCCCTGGTACCTTTTTCATAGGCTTTTTTGAGTTTGGGCAAGGACACAGGGGCCCCATGATCCCCTATTGCCCGGGGGCCCCATGAGTTGTCAGTCCGCCCCTGCTAGAGAGACATCATAGCTGCCAAAATATAAGTAATTACGATCCTAACCAGAAAAACAAATGGGATTTTAAAACGTACCACACCATATGAAACCATGTAAATTATACAAAAAATATGAACACTCCTAGATTGTAAGCTCCCAGGATCAGGGCCCTCCTTTCCCTCTTGTATTGAACTGTATTGTTACTGTATTGTCTCCATTATATTGTAAAGTGCTGAGCAAACTGTTGGCGCCATATAAATCCTGTATAATAATAATAATATATAAATCCTGTATAATAATAATGAGCAGAAGGTAAAAAAAATTGAACACCTTTTATTAGGTTAAAAAAACCACCATACGGACTGCTCACTTTAATCCTACTGGCAGAGATGGGTGTTTCCGGAATTGAGGTCTACGTGGGGACGTCTTGCACATCTGGTGGTCGTGCCCGCGATTGATAGGCTACTGGTCTAGGGTTTTTGGTTTGCTACAAACGTTATTTCATATTACAGTCCGTAGGGATGCAAGGGTGGCCCTCCTGCATTGCCCAATTTTTGGACTGTCTAGGTCTCAGCAGAAATTGGCATCCTATCTATTTATTTCGGCCAAACGTGCTATAGCTCAAGCTTGGAGAACCCCTTCAGTTGTCTTCCAGGGGGGTGAAGACCCGGATGAATGCTATGTTGATCAATGAACAGATGTCTAGAATTCTTCATGATTCTCATCCGAGATTCCTTAAGGTTCGGGAACCTTGGATACGTTATTCCTTGCCATCCCTGCCTCCTACTAGTTATGGCCTCCTATAGTCACTGCCTGTGCTAGCCCTGGATCCGTGATTCTTCTAGTTTCCCTTCCCTCCATGTTTTCTTTCTGATTCCTTTTTTTTTTGTTGTTTTATTTTCTTTTTCCTTTCTTCTAACTTTTTTTCTTTCCTCTTCTTTTTCCGGTAATATGTTAATCTGTTGGATTACTGCTGCTAATATTTGCTTCGACTTTTTGCCGTCTCTCATTTGTTATTTGACTAATACAAGTCAGCTGGATGTCTCTGTTTATGTGTTATTGTTCTGCTCATAGACTAGCCAAAAAAAAAAAACTTTTTTCAAGTGGGTGATTATAAATGGTCAAAGTTCAATATCGGTCTCAAAGATGTAGGCAGTGGAGACCTTTAGGCTATATAAAGGCCTTATTTTTACTGCATGTGACCTGTCAGCTCTTGGTGCCAGTGACTCCATCTTTGACCCTGTCAGCTCTTGGTGCCAGTGACTCCATCTTTGAGCCTGTCAGCTCTTGGTGCCAGTGACTCCATCTTTGAGCCTGTCAGCTCTTGGTGCCAGTGACTCCATCTTTGAACCTGTCAGCTCTTGGTGCCAGTGACTCCATCTTTGACCCTGTCAACTCTTGGCACCAGTGACTCCATCTTTGAGCCTGTCAGCTCTTGGTGCCAGTGACTCCATCTTTGAGCCTGTCAGCTCTTGGTGCCAGTGACTCCATCTTTGACCCTGTCAGCTCTTGGCACCAGTGACTCCATCTTTGAGCCTGTCAGCTCTTGGCGCCAGTGACTCCATCTTTGACCCTGTCAGCTTTTGGCGCCAGTGACTCCATCTTTGACCCTGTCAGCTTTTGGCACCAGTGACTCCATCTTTTGACAGTCAAGTCCAGTCTGTCAAACAACCTTTAACACTCATGTACGGTTATCAGTCTGCACGACAAACACAAAACTTCATTTCTGCCCCTAGAGAAGCAAAGCCTTCGTACAGCCCCTGACTGGCCCCAGACTCTGTCGATCCGCTAGTCGATGTGTCCCAACACATTTGGAGCTGATAAAATAGCAGTTATCTTCAGCTGTTGACAAGGCGGCGTCTAGACTTGTCTGTTTTGGGGTTATTTTATTCCATTTTTTTTTTTCTTAAATGAAATGATTTGCCCAAACAATTACATTTTCCCACCCCCGCCCCTCTCCGTACATTCCAGTCTCTGAAAAGCGGACTGAACACAACTTGCCTGCGAGTGTAATCAATGGATCCCAGCGAAAGGCACCACCAACTACGTAGCAGAGAGAGAGAGAGATATGTAGCTGCGGGCTATTATTCCTTTTTTTTTTTTACACTCTTTACCAGGCAGCTGTATGAGTCCCGGGACAGGTTGGAACAAGATAGCGCCAGAGAAGTGATAATTATTTGTCTGTCATTCTCAGCTGGCGTGTAGGATCTTGCAAACCGCAAATACCGTTAACTGGCCTGAGTGAATCTGTTATGACAGATCCTGGAATATGCAGGCAATGGCAGAGCATAGCTGAATGGTTTTAGAAAGCATCATGAATAATATTTTTTTTCTTTACCTTGTTTGGTATTATTCTGAAACAGCTCGAAGGGCACCGCAGAGTAGATTGGTCCCAAAAAAAGTAAACTTAAAATAAAAAAGAAGAAAGATGGAGAAGAGGTGTGCAATGGAAGAAGGGGAGAGAAATGGGGAAGAGGTGTGCAATGGAAGAAGGGGAGAGAAATGGGGAAGAGCTGTGCAATGGAAGAAGGTGAGAGAAATGGAGAAGAGGTGTGCAATGGAAAACAGCAGAAAGCTGGAGAAGAGGTGTGCAATGGAAGACAGGGAGAGAAATTGGGAAGAGTTGTGCAATTGAAGAATGGGAGAGAAATGGAGAATAGTTGTGCAATGGAAGAAGGGGAGAGAAATGGGGAAGAGGTGTGAATGGAAGAAGGGTAGAGAAATTGGGAAGAGGTGTGCAATGGAAGAAGGGGAGAGAAATGGGGAAGAGGTGTGCAATGGAAGAAGGGGAGAGAAATGGGGAAGAGGTGTGCAATGGAAGAAGGGTAGAGAAATGGGGAAGAGGTGTGCAATTGAAGAATGGGAGAGAAATGGAGAAATAGTTGTGCAATGGAAGAAGGGGAGAGAAATGGGGAAAAGGTGTGAATGGAAGAAGGGTAGAGAAATTGGGAAGAGGTGTGCAATGGAAGAAGGGGAGAGAAATGGGGAAGAGTTGTGAAATGGAAATGAAGGGGGAGAGAAATGGGGAAGAGGTGTGCAATGGAAGAAGGGGAGAGAAATGGGGAAGAGTTGTGAAATGGAAGAAGGGGAGAGAAATGGGGAAGAGGTGTGCAATGGAAGAAGGGGAGAGAAATGGGGAAGAGGTGTGCAATGGAAGAATGGGAGAGAAATGAAGAATAGTTGTGCAATGGAAGAAGGGGAGAGAAATGGGGAAGAGGTGTGCAAGGGAAGAAGGGGAGAGAAATGGGGAAGAGGTGTGCAATGAAAGAAGGGGAGAGAAATGGGGAAGAGGTGTGCAATGGAAGAAGGGGAGAGAAATGGGGAAGAGGTGTGCAATGGAAGAAGGTGAGAGAAATGGGGAAGAGTTGTGCAATGGAAGAATGGGAGAGAAATGGGGAAGAGTTGTGAAATGGAAGAAGGGGAGAGAAATGGGGAAGAGGTGTGCAATGGAAGAAGGGGAGAGAAATGGGGAAGATGTGTGCAATGGAAGAAGGGGAGAGAAATGGGGAAGAGGTGTGCAATGGAAGAATGGGAGAGAGAAATGAAGAATAGTTGTGCAATGGAAGAAGGGGAGAGAAATGGGGAAGAGTTGTGCAATGGAAGAATGGGAGAGAAATGGGGAAGAGTTGTGAAATGGAAGAAGGGGAGAGAAATGGGGAAGAGGTGTGCAATGGAAGAAGGGGAGAGAAATGGGGAAGATGTGTGCAATGGAAGAAGGGGAGAGAAATGGGGAAGAGGTGTGCAATGGAAGAAGGTGAGAGAAATGGGGAAGAGTTTTGCAATGGAAGAAGGGGAGAGAAATGGGGAAGAGGTGTGCAATGGAAGAAGGGTAGAGAAATGGGGAAGAGGTGTGCAATGGAAGAAGGGGAGAGAAATGGGGAAGAGCTGTGCAATGGAAGAAGGGGAGAGAAATAGGGAAGAGTTTTGCAATGGAAGAAGGGGAGAGAAATGGGGAAGAGGTGTGCAATGGAAGAAGGGGAGAGAAATGGAGAATAGTTGTGCAATGGAAGAAGGGGAGAGAAATAGGGAAGAGATGTGCAATGGAAGAAGGGGAGAGAAATGGGGAAGAGGTGTGCAATGGAAGAAGGTGAGAGAAATGGGGAAGAGTTTTGCAATGGAAGAAGGGGAGAGAAATGGGGAAGAGGTGTGCAATGGAAGAAGGGTAGAGAAATGGGGAAGAGGTGTGCAATGGAAGAAGGGGAGAGAAATGGGGAAGAGCTGTGCAATGGAAGAAGGGGAGAGAAATAGGGAAGAGTTTTGCAATGGAAGAAGGGGAGAGAAAATGGGGAAGAGGTGTGCAATGGAAGAAGGGGAGAGAAATGGAGAATAGTTGTGCAATGGAAGAAGGGGAGAGAAATAGGGAAGAGATGTGCAATGGAAGAAGGGGAGAGAAATGGGGAAGAGGTGTGCAATGGAAGAAGGGAAGAGAAATGGGGAAGAGCTGTGCAATGGAAGAAGGGGAGAGAATGAGGAACAGGTGTGCAATGGAAGAAGGGGAGAGAAATGGGGAAGAGATGTGCAATGGAAGAAGGGGAGAGAAATGGGGAAGAGTTCTGCAATGGAAGAAGGGGAGAGAAATGGGGAAGAGTTGTGCAATGGAAGAATGGGAGAGAAATGGGGAAGAGCTGTGCAATGGAAGAAGGGGAGAGAAATGGGGAAGAGGTGTGCAATGGAAGAAGGGGAGAGAAATTGGGAAGAGGTGTGCAATGGAAGAAGGGGAGAGAAATGGGGAAGAGTTGTGCAATGGAAGAAGAGGAGAGAAATGGGGAAGAGTTTTGCAATGGAAGAAGGGGAGAGAAATGGGGAAGAGGTATGCAATGGAAGAAGGGGAGAGAAATGGGGAAGAGGTGTGCAATGGAAGAATTGGAGAGAAATGGGGAAGAGGTGTGCAATGGAAGAATGGGAGAGAAATGGGGAAGAGTTTTGCAATGGCAGAAGGGAAGAGAAATGGGGAAGAGGTGTGCAATGGAAGAAGGGGAGAGAAATGGGGAAGAGGT